AACCTCTCATCACCCTCTCCCTGCCTTCCCCCAGCCCTTCTCCAGCTCTTTCCCTTCCTTCTTCCTACCCTCTCCTGGCTGTCTGTCTTTCTCCTCATGTTTTAAAAACTTCTCCCTGCCCTCCCCCAAACCTCTCGTCACCCTCTCCCTGCCTTCCCCCTGCCCTCTCCCTACCTTCCCCCTGCCCTCTCCCTGCCTTCCCCCTGCCCTCTCCCTGCCCTTCCCCCGCCCTCTCCCCTGCTTTCTCCCTGCCCTCTCCCTGCCCTCCAACCCTTTCCCTGGCCTCCCCAACCCTCTCCCTGTCCCAGTCCAAGTCTCTCCCTGCCCTCCCCAGCTCTCTCCCTGACCTTCTCCAACCCTTTCCCTGCCCTCCTCCAGCCCTTCTCCAGCTCTTTCCCTTCCTTCTTTCTACCCTCTCCTGGCTGTCTGTCTTTCTCCTCATGTTTTAAAAATGTAAATTAGATTCTGTTACTGTGCTGGTGGTTTCTCATCTCTACTAGTAGTCTTCATCCTGGCTTGTGCAGTCCCTTGTCACCTGAGCCTACCTCCCTCCTGGTGTGTCTCATCTGGCCACTGCTATGCTGCTGACTTTGTCCCAGGGGACTTTGGTTCTGTACTCCCACCTGCCTCTTTTCACCTGGAAGTTTTTCTTGCTCTGGTGTGTTTGCTCCTGTCCTTGATTTTCACAAGACCAACCTTCTGGTCTCAGACTCAGCTTAAAGCTATGTTTTTGAAGAGGTTATCCTCCAAGATGCTGTCACTGTCACAGTACCTTCTTACATTCTCTGTGCAGTCTTTATTGCCATGTGATGCTACTCCTGTTTGCTGATTGACTGTATAGTGAACTCTGAAAGCAGGCTCTTGCTTTCTATGTTGCTGCTGTATTTCTAGTGTTTAGAGAAGTGCCCACTGCATAGGAGAGTTGTGGGAAACATCACATGGGTAATTGAACGAATAAGTATTCTTGGAACCAAATAGAACTGTCCTTATAAACTTTTTTAAAAAAAAATAAAAATGTATAAGCTACACAGAAGACTTGGTAAATGGAGGGGAAAAAACAATGAGAATCCTTCATTCACAATTTATAGTTGACCCTTGGCAGTAACATTTTGATGGATCCTTTTCTAAGCTCTTTATACATGTGTCTGTGTGCTCATTTATTCTTTTTAATGCAATTGGACATATTTCTCTCTCCAAACACACCTTTCCTGCTCTCTTCAACTGTTATTTTATGAGCATTTCTTAAGCACTTAAAAGTCATTTAAAAACAAACTAAGCCGGGCTTGGTGGCTCAGCCTGTAATCCCACGCCTTTGGGAGGCTGAGGTGAGTGGATTGCTTGAGCCCGTGGGTTCGAGACCCGCCTGGACAGCGAGACCTCATCTCTACAATAAATCAAAAAATCAGCCGGGCGTGGTAGCGCATGTCTGTAATTCCAGCTCCTTGGAAGGCTGAGGCGGAAGGATCGCCGGAGCCCAGCAGGTCGAGGGTGTGGTGGCCGGGAGCAGCTACTGTACTCCAGTCTGGGTGACAGAGTGAGACTCCAAGTCAAATACATAAATAAATAAAAATAAAAATAAAAACAAACTAAAACTAGTTTGTAGTATGCAAACATATATACATACCATAATTTAATTATCCCTTGCTTATTCCTAGTCATTTATAACAATTTTTTATAGTCTAAGTAGTATTGCCATCCACTGACCAACAATTCCATTTCTATAAATGTGTCTTATGGAAGTAGTCATATATATATGAATATATATATTTACAAGCACATTTGTCATGGCATGCTATACTGATGAATATTTTTAGAAATGTGTTAAAGCATTGGCTTATGGAAGTATGATAAATAGACAACCAAGTCTTCTGTAGCCATTACAAGTCTGTAGAATAAAAATAATTGATATTGTAAGATATTTACAGCATCTGAAAAGGACTATTTTTGCAAAGTAGGTTGTATTGTCCCATTCATGGAAAATATGAAATACTGGAAAGATACATGCAACACAATAATAATCTCTAAGTGGTAAGATAATGATTTTTATTTACACTCAATTTCCACAGTAAACAGCTATAATAAGGTATTTTACATAATATTTTCACTACAGTAAAATTTCATTATATACAATTTTTTGATTCTATTCTTATGATTTTTCTTAGTATAGGTAACTTATTCTTTTTACCTGCCTACAAATGCCATACAAATGGTTAGAAATGTATACTGTTTAGAAGTCCTTAAATATACTGTATTGGTGGGTTACCACATTATATGTGCTTTTCCCCATGTTGGTTAAGGACAAGAAAAAAACCAGTTCTGTACTGAATTCATTAGGTATTGAGCTATAATGAGTCGGTTTCTTAAACTAGTAAATGAAAAAGGGACCTAGCTTTTCATAGTATACACATTTTCTCATTTCTTACCTTGATTTAAAAAAAAACTTTTGGGAGCAACATCACTCTCATTAACATACTTTTTGTAAAATCGTTGTGTGTATATCCCCCTTTTGCATGCCTGCATTTTCAGGCCTACTTCCAGCTCTTTGACAATGAAAGTGGTTGTGTGTTGTAGTACTCTTTTACTGCCAGTGTATCAGGCACGCCCCTGTGGACAGAGTGTCCTCAGCATTGCTCTGTTGTTTTCTGGTCTGTGCTCTCGCCTTCTCTGCTTGGTGGTCCTGCCTCTGATCTCTGCCTGCAGCACTGAGTGTCAAACTTGGTTGGTCTATGTGGTGGTGTAATCATACTGTGCCTTTTCTTGCATAGAGTACCACGAGACTGGACAGCGACAGAATGTCATCTGCCTCAAGCACAGCCGAGCGAGGGATGGTGAAGCCAATGATCAGAGTGGAGCAGCAGCCGGACTATCGCAGGCAAGAAAGCAGGTAGGAAATATTTCATTCTTTAATTGTGAAAAAAGAAGCAGAAGTTTTCTGAAAGAGGGGTTTGTGACCTTTTAGATTGTTAGCAATAACATTTTAGGAGTATTTCCTTTCTGTGTTATTGAATGGGGAAAAAATGCTTTATCAATAATTGTGTGTTTCACTTATATGCCACAGTGTTATCAAGTTGAAATAGGCACATTGAATTAAAATGCTGAAATTTAAAATTTGCTACTTTTTAAAAACATAGGGAGAAAGGGAGATTTTATAGGATTTTAATACTTGATAATTTTCATATTTAGAAAAATCTGGTCATTTCACCAGTTCCTAGAAGTCTTCATATGTTTAAAAATATGTAAGAATACAAATGATTTTGAAATAGAGATTTTAAGAATTGTGGAGTGCCATATTATCATGTTTTATGCTCTGATGTGATGTTTTCTTCTGTTGAAATAATGGAGGATGAATTATTGTTTTCTTCTGTCATTGTTTTTGCCTAGTTTTTCTGGGCAGAAAACTTCTGCTCTTTGTTACTTTTTTTCCACTTTTGAATATGTATCACCTTAATAAATTAATTTTATTTATTTGTGACCTCTAAAATGGTTTAAATGGAGCAAATTAATATCAGTGCCTTAAATATGGGAATTAATAACATGAAAGCTTCCAATTGCTGCCTGGTGTGACACTGCAGCATGATTTGGTGTTGAACATTTCTGCTCCAGAGCTCCAGATAGACTCAGACAGAAATCGTTTTGGAAATACATTCGGACTTTGATGAGGTTCTTGTGATCAGCAGCGAAACTGAGGCATTCCTTCTTTGGGGATCTTCAGACTTTTTCTGTTACCTGTTAAAGATCAGTAACCGAGGCCGCCCTTACTCAGGGTCCCCCATCTGTTCAGCCACAGGTGATGAAGACACAGGCCTTCAATTTTCCAGCTTCCAGCAGAGGGCGCTGTACACTGCAAGATTTAATACCATGCATTGCAGTAATTAATTGATGAGTAATTAATTAATAAGGGAATCCCACTTTTACTGTGGACTTTTTGGTGCTTAAGGTTCTTATGTAAGATTTTTGTGGGCAGTGTGAAATTTTATTTCATAATAATGAATAGCTTACTTTCTGTGTTTGTACTTGTTTTTGGTGGTGTGTTATAGAATACTGTGGTAAACTAGTATTGTAAGGAGTACTTCTAGGTATTTACAAGGTAGTTGAAGAGTATGAATCATAATTCTTAGCTCAAATATTTGAATGAGTGACAGTCCACTTGGGGAAGGGGCAAGATCAATTAGGATGGATACTCTTAGGATATGCAAAGTTAATGATTAACAAATGTATGTAGTTGATAGTATGCTAATCTAGTGTCAGAATAGCCAGATGGTTAATTGTATGTCAGAAATGGCTTTTATAAGCATATATTTTAAATAAAATTTTTGCAAGGTAAGATTAGTTTGCTTTGCAAAGACTTATTAAAGATTTTATTTTATTCATAGGTATCTTACTTTGTTGTTATTAAGACAGTGATAAAAACAAGTGAACTTTTTTCCCCATTCTTATTCTATTCTGACTCTGTTTATCATATATAACATGTTGAAATAAGCAATACCAGATTTAATTCATGCGCTTATAGAAAAATTTAAGTCTCTTTAAACAAGTTTAAAATACTAATTTTAGTCAAGAAAATAAGTCCCTTTGAATTATGGGAGAGACTATTAATTATCACTGAGTTTCTTTTTCTGATTTCAAAGACGTTTTAAACTCCTTTTACCAGATTTGTTTCAAAAAAAAAAATTTGAAGCCGGGCTCGGTGGCTCAGGCTGTAATCCCACGCCTTTGGGAGGCTGAGGTGAGTGGATTGCCTGAACCCGAGGGTTCGAGACCTGCCTGGGCAACTTGGCGAGACCTCATCTCTACAATAAAACAAAAATCAGCCGGGCGTGGTAGTGCACGCCTGTAATTCTGGCTACTCAGAAGGCTGAGGCAGAAGGATCGCCGGAGCCCAGCAGGTCAAGGCTGCCGTGGCCGGGAGCAGCCACTGCACTCCAGTCTGGGCGACAGAATGAGAATCCAGCTAAAAAAAAAAAAAAAAAAAAAAAATGTGGTAAAGTGCATTCAGGTTCACTTTAAAGGATATTAAATTAAAGTAACTGCTTATCTGCCATCTTAGATGTTTGTAAACATGGGAGTATAAGGGCGGCATGATAAAATAATTGAGCATTAAATTTATTTTTAATTTTAAAGATGTCGAGGACAATTCAGGATTAGATATACAAGTGGCCATCAAACAGGTAAAGTTTGGGCCTCCGTTTGGTCCCCACTTTGCCTGGTTTGAGATCAGGTACCCTTACTGATATTGTGTCCCTCTTACACACCCCAGCCATATCCCACTACTTTCTTATAATATTATGGCAAATGTTCAGGGTCCACTTATGAGTGAGAACATGGTACTCTGTTCTTTGTTTCTATGGTAGATCACTGAGAATGATAGACTCTAAATCTATCCAAGTTGCTACAAAGTCCAAGGTGTCCTTCTTTATGACTGCATAATATTCCATTGTGTATGTATACCACATTTTTTTCATCCAGTTCAGTTTTGATGGGCAGCACCATTGGTTCTATGTTTTGCTATTGTGAATAGTGCTGCAATAAACATGTGTGTGCGGGTGTCTTTTTTGTAGAATGATTTGAGTTCCTCGGGGTATATTCCCAGTAGGGGAATTGCTGGGTCATATATATGGAAGGTCAATGTCTAGTTCTTTTAGAAATTGCCACACTGCTTTTGAGCATTTAAATTATATTGTTTATAAGAGCATCTTTGGTTTCCTAAGTGGTCATGTTAAATCATTAAATCATAGGTTGGATAATAAATTTTGAAGCATATAATTTGATGAAAAGAAGATTTTTGGTCTTGCTTTGACTTTATTAAACTGTGTTAACTCACATTATATTCTTTTATCTTTATTCATCTTTTGGAGCATGGAGAAGATGAGGATGGAAGGAAGAGAACTATTTATTTAAACTGTGTTGAAAAAATTTATTAGCCAGTCTGTATACTAGTATACATCTGTAATCATCATGTTACTCTTTTATATTTTTTTGAAGAATTTTTTAATTATTACTTGTAGTAACTTAATTAATGAGTGAACCAGCAATTCCAAGTAGTAAATTCTGGTAGTTCATTACCAGTTGTCTAAGATTAATAGACTGAAGTTGCTGATGAAATGACTTTCCTTTAAGAAACTAATGAGTTTTTCCGATTTAAATGTTCTAGTAACTGTGTCGCCTTTCCATTGCACCAGATATAAAGATTTATGTGAATAAATATTGACCTCAGTTTGCTTTTAAGACAATATCTAACTCAGTAGATGTTTTCATCCCAATGTAAAGTCATTATAATCACCACTATTTAATTTCCAGTTAAGTGTTCAGAAAGGCAGTGCATTTGTTCTCTGGCCTTTGCTGTCTATTTTAATTTTCTTATTTTTTCAAGACAGAGTTTTTGAGAATTCTTCCTGATCATCTTTGTTAAAGTTTAACTAAAATAATAAAGGTGTTGAAATGTTGGAAGCTAATCCCTTGCCTATGTGTTTGGTTATTATGGTAATAATTACATGGCTTAAAGTTCTAATCACATGTCTAAGTGAACGAGCATTTAAACTGAACATTATTCATTGAGAAAAGTATAAATCTATTAAGATAAGGAGATCTAAACTGGTTTTGTAATTATTTATCTTACGCCTTTTAGAAAGTCTGTGCCTAGCAATCGACTCTCAAAATGTTTTTAAACTATGGTCACAACACAAGATTATATTTACATTGTGCTCTGGTGGACACAGATACACACATAAATGTATATATTCACGTGGAAAAGGAGATTCATAAAACAGTGTTCATTATGTGTTTCCAGTGGGTAGTAACTTACTGTTGGAAGAATTTTTTTTTTATAACAATAGAAATAACCTAACCTTCAAATGAATTTGATCTGAATACCTAGAGATATATAAACATTAACACAGTGTGACACAATGTCACTTAGTAATGTTCTAAATGTTAGAAAGTGCTCAGAATGGTAGAAAGTACCTGGAATTGATGTGACCTTAAGAAAAGATGTGAGTAGAATGGCTGTTTTTTTTTTCTTTTCTTTTCTTAAGGCATGTATTACTGTGAGCATTGACAAATTATATACTGAATGGCTGAAGGAAACTTTCTGTGGTTATCTTGTCTAACCTATGTCAGTAGAGAATGACGAAAGTCTCAGAAAGCTTTTCTCTTTCAGTGTAACAACTCAGTTTCAAACTTAGGATGGTTTAGTTTTTCTTTATGTCTCTTGGGTTTTTGTCACTGTTACCTGAGCCATAGCTGTAGCAGGTGCATGACAGCCTGATCTCTGTACTAGACATGAAGTGTTCATTAATAATCTAGCATCGTGTCAGATCTATTCTCATGGTGGAGGTATATACCACGAGGAACTAATCTTCTGTGGGAAGTTGTGATAAGATTGCTCCCAATACATCCATCTGCATATCTGAATAGATTATATATGAAAACAAGGGATTGTGCTGTTTTACTGTTGAGTAACTGAAAAATTTATACAGAGATTTTAAAAGTAGTTGCAGAAAGCTACACTGGTTGTCAGTGATACTGTTAGCCATGTAGCCTTACTTTAATCCATGTCATCTTTCTTCCTTTAGAACACAGGATGCTTCAGGGCCTGAACTGATACTACCTGCAAGCATTGAATTCAGGGAAAGTTGTAAGTAATTTTCGATTCCATTGGTAATGAATTTTTTCTTGATCCATTTTTCTCCATCTGATTTCCATGTTTTGTTTTTCCTTCTTTTTTGAAATCTTTTCACAGCTGAAGATTCATTTTTATCTGCCATCATAAATTATACTAATAGCTCTACAGTCCATTTTAAGTTATCCCCTACATATGTATTATATATGGCATGCCGGTATGTATTGTCCAGCCAGTACAGACCTGATATCAGTCCCACTGAGCGCACTCACAAAGTCATTGCAATAGTCAACAAGATGGTGAGCATGATGGAAGGAGTCATTCAGGTAAGCTCCGGCTTGGAAAACTATGCTAACCCAAATAATTTGGCAGTAATTTTTAAAGCGTTTTTTTAGCGCTTCTTTCTTGGTTACATGTCTGACTCTAAAGATTTTTTTCTAAAATAAAAGCTAATGTAAATAGAATAGAAAAGTGTATAACTTTAAAAAGTTGGAGGAAATGTAAGATTTTTTTTCTATTTTTTTCTTATAAACTTCAAAGTAAATGAAGATAACTGTGTTTGTGGTAACGTAATGACCATGAAAAAGATCCTTAAATCTGCAGTAGTGGTTGTGAGAGAAAGTGTTTAGACTACTGTGGGTCTTCTTAGAATTTTTCTTTAAATAATTTTTTGAGATGAAATTCACATAAAGTTAATCATTTTGAAGTGAACAGTTCAGTAGCATTTAGTGCATTCACAGTGTTCTGCAATCACCCACCCCTATCTGGTTTTGAAACATCTCCATCACTCCAGAGTGAAAGCCCTTTTCCATTAAGCAGCTTCTGCAGTTCTTTCCTTCCCTAGTTCCTGACCTCCACCTTCTAAGAATTTTTTAATGGTTATACAAAGGTACTTGCTCTTTTATAATGAGCCTACTATGGTGTTGGCAGTAGTGGACTTTTTTGGATGGCATGTATAAGTATAATGGACATCATGACATACTTCTCACTTAAAATGAAATCATTTTGTAAACCCGTTGAGAATTTCAGAATATAAGGGTATTCTGTTGGTAGGATGGTTTGATTCCTTTAACTCTTTATCAGCAGTTGATGAAATTGGCATAGCAATTTTTCATGTTTACAGATAATTATAACACTTAATCTTTAAAGTCCTTAAAAATAAGCTTGCATATTTTAAAAAATTATTAAGTAATTTCCAATGCCATTATGTGATGTTAAGTGACATGGTTAGATGGTTTGGTTGTTTTTCTCCTGGCAGGATAGTTTGAGGAAAACTAAGGTGATCTTTGAATTCCCTCAGAATTGTTTTAAAAAGGCCAAAAATTTTCAAGAAATGTTTCTTTCATGTTTGGATGATGAGTATGAGTTTGATGGGTTATGATAGGACATAGATAAAAGGGAAAGTCATTTTATTTGGATACCATTTTGTTACTCCCATATCATCATTTTATAAACAAACATGGATTTCCTTTTCAGTTGTCATTCAAAGCCATTGTCTGTCTTCTATCATGTTTGGATTTCTAAAGCCTATTTCAAATTGTGAAACACTTGTCGTCAAACTACCTTTGGTAGCCTTTTTCTTACTGATGTGAATAGTCAGGGAAATCACTATGATCAAAACAAGTCTTTTAAACCTAAGATTTAGGTTTAGTTTCAGTAGAAAAGAATTATGGTAGTGAATAGCTTAAATTCTACTTTTCAAAAATTCTCAGCTTTTATTTTGATTGTTTCTGTTGATCTTTCCTGCCTCTTTTATTCTCAGTAATTAGTTAATTCAGAGGAATGGACTCTCATATACCTTAATGTAGTAAGCACATGATTATCATGAAAAGACATTTAGAAGTCCTTCCTTTATAAGTCTTATAAAGAAATCAGTATGTTCATGTGTGTTTATTATAGCATCATCTTTTAAGGTAGACTCAATAAAAATTCACTTAGTTATTGTGCCAGTGTTAAGAACAGAAAACTCCTTTAGGTTATATTCTTCCAAAGCTGCTTCAGAACCATAAGTGAAAATGTAATTTGGGAATAACATAACTAAATGTTGTACCTTCATGTCGTACCTTCATATTAGTGTTTTGATTTTTTTAAACTATCATGATTGTTTACAAGTTTCTTTCTCTCGTTCTGCTTGATTTCCCTTCGTCTGTTTTTCTCCAGGAAGTAGACCAGGTTGACCAGGTAGGACATCTTGCTGGGAGTCGATCCTAGCTGTGTTGCTTAGCCAAGTTTCTCATGCTGCTCCCATGTCAAATACAGTACTACAACAGCTGGACTGAACAGCGCATAACACTCATTCAGCAACTGAGACATGCAGTACTAAAATCCTTTTGACTGTGCAACCTTTATCAGCATTTCATGATTTCTGCTTAATGCACTTTAGTGTGGATATGAAATGACAAAAGTTCTGTTTCTTCTCTTTATTATTTATCCTTGGTTCCTATTCTTTGGATCTCATCTGAGGTTGCCTGGCCTGCACATGTGGTCGGGAGAGGATGTGATAGATCAGTACTTGATACTGAGTTGCATGGTGTCCAAACCGGTGACTACAAGTATCAGGGTGGCTGTGGGTAACCATGGATACATGTGTGTATACTGCACAGATTACCAGATAATGCACAATCTACAATTTGATGTTATGTTATTTGGTATCCCCACTTCTCCACTGATTCCACCCATAAATTGTAGCTAACTAAATCCGTATGACTATGTACACGAATCCTAAGAAATAGTTGCAGTGGTTATTTACTTCCCATTGCTGTGTGTGCACCCAAATTCCTTTGCAAATATCTGGTATCTGTGGTAAATACCTTGGTGAAAATGGGAAGGTACTGGTCTATCTTCAGCAGCTTTTCAAGAGCATTCCTTTTTATTTTTATGATTTTTGTGTGTTCTGTGTTGCTTATGGAAATGTGTTCTGTCTACAGAAACAGAAGAATATTGCAGGGGCACTTGCCTTCTGGATGGCAAATGCATCTGAACTTCTCAACTTCATTAAGCAGGACCGAGACCTTAGTCGAATCACATTGGATGCCCAGGATGTTTTAGCACACTTGGTTCAGATGGCATTTAAGTAAGGAACACATTTTTTAAGATGACACTGTTCTACAAATAATTAATTTTAAAGGTTTATATTTAATTGAATATGGATGAGTATCAAGCATAAATATGTATGTGCAAGATGTATCGACTTAATACTGAATTCAGTGAGCTATATGTCAAGAATGCTGACAGTAAAACTTGTATTTTTTAAAATGGAAAATATTTCTAAAGTGTCCATATTATTTTGCATTTGATACCATACCTGACAGTAGCAGTGTGTCATGCTGAGATTATTTAAATTGTGTTTGTATCTTCAGATACTTGGTTCACTGTCTTCAATCGGAACTTAATAATTACATGCCAGCCTTTCTGGATGACCCTGAAGAGAATAGTCTACAAAGACCAAAAATAGGTTAGGATGTTCTTTGACTCCTTCCGTCTTTCCCTCTTTCTTCACATCTGACTTTATTTTAATGTTTACTATTTGTAAGGGGTATTTTTTAAAAATGAGATGTTCTGTTGAGTTTGGCAGTCTTCAAAATAATATGTTTTCATTACTGTCTGTTTTGTTTATGAATAGTTCTCATTTTGGTGTGTCATGCTGGTCATACTAAAAAAGTCTTCTAGAGTGAACTTAAAATCATAAGTGTAATTAGTCAATAACCATATATGGTTTAAGGCCATGTCACTGTTTCATATTTGAATGAAATTGGTATTTTTATAATGATTAAACAGCAATTATTACCATATCTACTGTTATCAACATGTATTGCAAACTCAAAGAGTTCTTCTTGGATGATATTCTGGTGCCCTTGCTTTCTCATCCTGTCTGAGCAGATGATGTGCTACACACGCTCACAGGAGCCATGTCTTTGCTGCGACGCTGCAGAGTCAACGCTGCCCTGACCATCCAGCTCTTCTCTCAACTCTTCCACTTTATCAATATGTGGCTGTTCAACAGATTGGTGACTGACCCAGATTCAGGACTGTGCTCTCACTACTGGGGTGCAATTATCCGTCAGCAGCTGGGCCATATTGAAGCCTGGGCTGAGAAGCAGGGGCTGGAGCTGGCAGCAGACTGCCATCTCAGCAGGATTGTACAGGTGTGCTGCTCCCCATCCCCACAGTTCATGTGCTTTGTGGTCAAAGTATCTGATGTTAAGTGGGCACAGCTTGGATGCAGCCAGACCCCAATACCCTTCTTTTGGGGTTTTTAATATGTACAAATAATGACAATACTGATGTATTAGTACCTAGCTGCCGAAACAAAGTACACATTGTTTTTACACTGTATCAATGGTTTGTCATAATTTTTACAGAATAAGTGTAAGAGAATGACTGCTATAGGTGCATACTTACTGTCTGAATAAGTGTAAGAAAATCATCGCTTGTATACACATGAACATTCTGAGTCAGGAATAATGGTGATGCCTGGCGACCACAGCTTGTCTACCTGGGTGACTTTCTGATAGTTTAAAGTACACAAACATTGTTTCATGCACACAATTAATTAAAATATATAGAACTACCTTCATGGTGTATGCATAAGGTATGTATGAAACAAATGAATTGCATATTTAGACTTGGGTTCCATCCTGAGATCTCTCACTGTATATGCAGATTTTCTAAAATTGGAAAATATTCCAAATCTGAAAACTTCTGGCCTTCCACATTTCGGATAAGAGATTCTCAATGGGCACCAAAAACTGAATGGCTCAACAACTGTCTCTGGCTCTGGAAGCTAGAAGCTGAAATCAAGGTGACAGCAGGGTTCAGTCCTTCTAGGCTCCGAAGAAAGGATCCCGCCTCCAGCTTCTGGTTATTTGCATGCAGTACATAGCATCCTTGACCTGTAGATGCATCATCCCAATCTCAGCCTTTATTTTCACATGACATTCTCCTTATTTGCAGGTGTTAAATGTCTGCTTTATATAAGGTCACCATCATGTTAGACCTACTGATCTCTTTTGAACTTGATTACTCTTGTAAAGATGCTATCTCTACAAAAGATCACATTCTGAGGTTTAGGAATTATATCCTCATATGTTGGGAATCTAGCATATAAGAATTTTAGGGAACACAGTTCTTCTCAAGACAAGTGGTAACCAATGGAATATAAATACCCTTAAAGGGTCCTTTATATTGAGATCTGTAAAGTGAATTTTAGAAAACTTGATACTGAAAGATACCAATTTAAAAACGGATAGTAATTAACTCTGAAGAATACAAAGTCATATCATATTCTAATGGCCTAATGAGCTCTGAGGGAAGTTTTTGGATATTGAAGACTAGGAACTGGTGTTTTATAATTAAATGAGTCACCTACAGCCTCACAACCTAGGACTTTGTTTTTTATTATAGTGTATGCCTTTTTTCTTGATTTCTTAATCTCTTCTAAAGAGATTTAGAATAGAGAGAGCAGTCAGCTAGTTTTCAAAAGTCATGACAATGAAACTATTTAGACATTAGTAACTGGTAATCTGAATGGTCATGCAAATGTTTTAACTTTCACAGAGCATTCTTACAATGTTTTATGAACATAAATAATTAATAATTGAATCTAATTACACATGCATGTTTTAATAAAATTAAGATGGCATCTAAAAACTTTGCAAGACAGTGTTTTTAGTTCTATTTAATGTATATAATTAACATTAATAGAAGTCTGGAACATCCTATATTTCAAAAATAGCCCTTCCAGAAATATCTTGTGGATTACCTACCAGCAGCTTGACTGCCCTTTTCTACAAAATAGTGAAAAGTGAATCACCTTATATTAAATAGTATAGCGTTGGAACCAATATTTTATTATAATGATATTTGGCTTGTAATGGAATTTTGAACATTGAGGAACTTATTTATGACAAAAAAAATCAAAATTTTATCTTATGTTATTCTAACATGTGGTAACATGTGAAATAGTCACTGACATGTATTGCTGATTCATTGATACATGTTGTGCAATAGTAATTCTGACGTCTTCCACCTGGTGTTTTTCTATTCGAGCAGACAATGCTGCCCTGTTTTCTTCCTCCCACATTAATAATAAGTCATTTATTGTCCAGTTTTTTGTTTGAATAAGATGTGGAAGAACTCACTTATGATTCCTGAAAACCAACATCTCAGCTGACTGATTATATCTCAGTATACAGTTCATCTCTTTATTTGCATTTTCATGATTTGAGTGGAAAACTACAAGGAAACATACATTTTTGAAAAATCGGTGCTGGCATAAGTTTATCCTGTATAGTCACCAGCAACCTCCTTATGCCCCCTTTGTGAGGACGTTGAAGTGGTTTGCTAGATTTACGATGTCCCCTCAGAGGGCTAAATTAGCAAGTTGTCATAGTTTTACAGATACTACATAAAGTATATTTATGAAATACTTTTAAATCATGATATTTCGTGTCATTTATTCTTTTAAATAGGCAACCACTTTGCTTACCATGGATAAGTATGCACCCGATGACATTCCAAATATAAACAGCACCTGTTTTAAGTTAAATTCACTACAACTTCAAGCCTTATTACAAAACTATCACTGTGCACCTGATGAGCCTTTTATCCCAACGGTAAGTGAGTATTGCCACATTACCACACAGTGTGGGACATGCTTGCACAGGGAAATTTGGATTAAAAAAAGCGAAAGGAACTCTTTTTATTAAGTTAGCTTATTTAGTAAGCTTATAGAATCATTTTGCTGTTAATATTTAAGTTACAATTCAGTGCAAGAAGCAGAAACTACAGAAGCATTTTAGGTAGAAGGAGATTTTATTCAGGGAACTAGGTTGTTGGAAAATCCTTAGAAGGGCTGGAAGAGAGGAGATTAAGAGGCTGTTGGACTGTTGCGCTCCAGTGCACATTGTTGTGACTGAGCACCAGAGAACCACAGCTGCTGCATCAACAGCCACAAGATACCCTTCTCACGCTAGCTGATGTAAGAGGTTCACGATGGGTAAAATTCCATCCAATCCAGAATGGAGCTGGGAGTTTTTGCGTGTCTGCCTCTCACTAGAAGTTACAGAGGGTGAGAAATCCAGTCCATAATGTCTACCACCACTGACTGTTTACAATGAGAGAAGTGCTGTGAAAACCTCACATTGCAATTAAATGTGTGTCCACAGAATTATGCAAAATAAGTGGATGGACGGATTGACCTTTATTGAGTTTATGCCAATGAAAGACATGTACAAAATAGGTAGAAGTTGGAAATCACCAAATTGAAAGTACAGCGTATAAATAAATCCTGTATATCTTCATATAAAGGATTACTACCTGCAGTGAGGAAGAATGAATTACAATTACCCATCACAGCCTGGATGAATATTGTGACATAATTGGCACAAAAGAAACCCTAAGCAAAGTATGTGGTTCCATCTGTGTGCATTTCAGGAACTGACAAAACTACTCTGTGATGTTAGAAGCCTGGATGGCCACTCCCTTTGGGGAAGAGGGGGTAGGAGAGGGATGGGGATGTACAGGGGCTGCTCAGGTGATGATATCCTGTCTCTTGAATGGAAGTGGAAATGGTGGTGGAGCTGGTGAATTTGCTTCATTGAGCTATAGAATTAGAATTTGTGAACTTTCCTCTGAGTGGTTTGTATATGAATAAAAAGTTTTTAAACAAAAATCACCCATAAACCCACAATTCAGAAATAACTTTTATATATTGATACATTGCCAAACAGGGACAAATAGTGCCTAGTAGATATTTTATTTTTTCCTGCTTTTAATATTTAACGTTGTGTGGACTTCCCCTTATACTGTTAAACATTCCACAAAAACATCTTTATTAACAACTGAAAATGAATTGTGTGAGGAAAAAAAAGATTTCTTTGGAAAAGAAGAACTACTTTTTTCTTGTGATTGAACAGTTTTATTTAAAGCTACAAATTACTAAAAATTGATAATTAAAATCTTGGTTTGTTCGTAGAATATGTGCACCTTGCTTGTGGGTTGTTGCCTTAGAAGACTGATGTCAAGTATAGCAATGCTTCTGCTTTACTTGCATGCCCCTGCATCTGGATGTGTGAGCTGTGCTACAAGGATCAAATGGGCTTTGTGGCATCGTTGGTCACTTATACCAGTCACTGAGCATCTCTTTTTAATTTTGCATTTGTTTTCCAAACAGGATCTTATAGAAAATGTAGTGGCTGTTGCTGAAAACACTGCTGATGAGCTGGCCCGCAGTGATGGGAGGGATGTGCAGCTGGAGGAGGACCCTGACCTGCAGCTGCCTTTTCTTTTGCCAGAAGATGGCTATTCTTGTGATGTTGTCAGAAGTATTCCAAACGGTTTACAAGAATTTTTAGACCCTCTGTGCCAGAGAGGTAAATATTGGTCACATGTCTGAGTCTGAGCTGTGACCCCAGTGGAAGTGAGCATTTGAGTCATCGTCCACCTCCTGGACAGTCCACTCATGTGGGAGTGCACCCCTGTGCCTCCTGGGGAAGTCTGTATTCCACTGATTTGGAGAAACACTTCATGGTGACACAGGGTCAGAAGTGTCCAGACACAGCCCTCATGGGTGTGTTGTGACCCCACAGTAAGCACTCGCTCTGTCCACTTGGTGCCATGGTTACAGTTTCTGCCTGGACCTTTTATTACTCCTCTCTCTTCCTGGTATTTTATGAGTCTAGTAGGCCGATTCATTCTCTTAAAACAAAATTGTAAACTTCTTGTTGGTACCAGCACAGCAGAGTACTTAAGAGCAGCACAGGCTTTGGAAACAGACTGCTTGAGTTCTAAACCCAATTCTATCACTTACGAGCAGTGCTGCCTTGCTACTGTGGGCGGGTTACTTCTGTGCCTCAGTTTTTCATCTGGGCGGGTTACTTCTGTGCCTCAGTTTTTCATGTTAACATTACCTAGCTAAGAGATTGCTGTGAGGACTGAATGGGCCGCCCATGGAGCATATAGAGCAATGGCACAGAGTGAGTGTGTGTAAGTGCTTGGTGGCTGTGGCTACTGCCACCGTGCCAAATTGACACATGCTCGTGTGCTGATTAAACCCAAACTCCGGCATGTGTTGTGCTTATATATAGTCCTTTTGCATGAAAGGTTTCAAAGCATTGCACAATCTGTGCACAACTCATTTCTCTGGTTTTGTTTTGTAACCTTTGCTGTGTTTTCTTGTTGAGGTATATTGATTATTTCTAACGTATAAGCTTTTGAAAACACCATGATTATTTCTAACGTATAAGCTTTTGAATTAGACCAGATTTTAGTCCCATCTTACTACTTTTTTGTAAAGTGGAGAACAGCTCAGAAGAGTAGAAAAATAGACCCAAAATATAGGAATTTCTATGAACAAATACAAGTAATAATAGTAGAGAAGTTAAGGTTTTATGCTCATAGGCATATGAACTGGGTGAATATGATTTTTAACTTTGGTGACTATTTAACTCACCACAGTAAATAAGTTTTTATGTCTTCAGAGGCATCTTCAAAGTTTTTGATAGCTTAAAAAACTCATTTTACAAAGGCTACTTCTAATGAAATGTGTTTGTGAAACATCCAGCACTGGAGCCTTCCCAGGTGCTCAGTGATCAGTGCCATCCTCAAAGAAGCAGAGCCCACAGTGGGGCTTGGCAGGGGTGAGGTCTCTTAGGAACCCACAGGATGAAGGGCAGGAGCAGGAGTAGGCAGGGAGAGCCGTCAGTCCGGGTAGAGGTTGCATCTGTGACACTTGTGACCAGGTGAGGTAAGGAGGATGGCTAGCCTACAGTGCAAGTCTGAGGAATGGAGTGGACCCAAGATGGCCCCTGGAGATGAGTTCTGTGCTCTGTCATGATCTGGGAAAAGCCTCCCAGCACATGGTGGTGAATCCAGAGGCAGCCGTACATCTGCCATGCAGCAGGCACCTGGCTGCTACAGGACTGCTTAGAGGTGTCCTTCCAGGCTGCCATGTCTTAGCATTTCACAAGCCACAGCCAGCTGTCTTTTCTAGATGCGTCCCACGCAACGAGGTGCTTACGGCACTTGCCATCTCACCCCAGTTCCCCATTCTTCTGTTGAAGCCTACATATTGCCATGGATCTTAAAATCAAGGTTTGTGTATGGCTCTCTCCAAGTGACTCTTCCCCCGTCACCTATAGGAGTAAGATAAACTGTGAGCATGATATCCCCTCCAGCCTTACTTTCCTACCTTGAAATGTGTACACTGTATAGACTATTAATACTGAGCTGTGTATTGTGTTTCCATGTTGGTACATTTGTTACAACCTTACTCCTGCTGTTGGACTTACACATTTTTATTTTCTTAATTTCAATCGAATATCTTTTTATCTAGATAACCTCTGCATCTTTCTAGCACTTAACATGCTTCCCCAGGAGCAATTCTTATGTTACTAGCTTCTGTTTTTGCACCAGTTGCATTGTGCTGTCTGTCCCCCATGTTGAGTGTGGGTCCCTAGATCCTGGGCTGGACTGGCTACACTTTCTCTATTTCCAAGCATCTCACGTGGACCTTACAAATAAGCATGCAGGGAGACTAACTAACTAGCATTTTGTGGATGTGTATAATTTATAGTGTGCACACAGTTGCCAGTTTTGGAATATATGCCATAGAGTAGATGCTTGCCAGGTTGGAAATAGTGAGCTCTTGACTTGATGATGAAGTTTTCTTCATGACTTCCCTGTAGGCTCTCTTGAGTGATTAATTTTAGGACATATGTGCTATTTTGTCATGGTCTTGGCATCACCACATTATTTCATATGCTGGATGATTGGATATGCAGCTTTGTATGCAGATACCTTTTAAAGACTCACAAAGAACCGAGTGTCTTCTTTATGCCATTAGTGTTTTTAATTCTACACACTCAATTCTTTGCAAGCTGATTAAAGAATTAATTTGTTGTGCTCAATGTATGTTCCTTATTTTCTTCATACAATACAGTTTTGTGAGAGAAGGCTTTACAGCCAGCCTAGACTCATACCTGGTCTGAGATGCATTCCTTAAGCAATAAAGGAAAATTTCTGTTTGTGTATGGCCCAGAACTTGTTATAGAAACCTGGCATTTGAAAAAATAGGGAAATAATTTACTATTGTTGAAATTTAAAATTACAAAAAATTTGTGAATTCCCTAAAATATGGGAAAGAGAAGCAAGTTACAGATTATATATTAATACAACTGGACTGAAACAGTGATTTAAAAAAGAAAAGATAAAATTAAGTAAACTTACTTTATATTCTTATTTTTACTGAGTATGTTTTTGATACCTCCTTTTCCCTATACCACAAATAATTTCATAATTACAGTTAAATAGAACAGTCAAAACTAACAGTCAGAATTATCCTCACTGATGAAACACTAGAATGGGATGAGACTGTTAGCTATTGCCAGCGAAGATTCCTCGCCATTCTGCAGGGTTGGGACTAGTTGAGACTTGGTGAAAAGCTGCACTGTGCCTGGCACACAGGACACCCTTGAGGAGTGTTAACTGCTCGTAGTGAGAGGAAGGTGACAGCTCTGGAAAGCACGTAACAAGAACTGTGCAAGGCCTGTGTGAAAGGGCTTGGCCAAAAAAATCACTAGAAACAAAATAAGTTTTGACTGGATGAAGGATGACATACATACTTTGAATTGAGAGGCTTAGTTTTTAAAAAAATGTCATTTGTCCCTGATGAAAATATCAGAGATATTCTTTAAAACTTTGTAAATATGAGAAGAGGTCCCAGAAGTGTAGTATAAACCATCTGATATCTTGAATGCAAGTCTTTGAACCTGGAGTCTGATGTGGTAGGTAGATACCCAGTGGTAGTTTTCTTTTTGGTTCTCTCCCTCTTTTTTTTTCCTTTGCAAGTAGGTCTTTTGAATGTCATTACAGATATCTTAGTCAAATGGATTCAACAATTCTGCAAGGAAGTAATGAAAAGGGAATTCAATAATTTCTTTTTATTTTTTTTTGAGTTGGAGTCTCTTTCGCCCAGACTGGAGTGCAGTAGCCGCTCCCAGCCACCGCAACCTCGACCTGCTGGGCTCTGGCGGTCCTTCCGCCTCAGCTTTCCAAGTAGCTGAACTACAGGCGCGCGCTACCACGCCCGGCTAATTTTTTGATTTATTGTAGAGATGAGGTCTCGCCAAGTTGCCCAGGCGGGTCTCGAACCCGCGGGCTCAGGCAATCCACTCAGCTCAGCCTCCCAAGGCGCCAGATGACAGGCTGAGCCACTGAGCCCAGCTCAATAATTTCTTACAGAAGTAAGGGATTCAGAAGGGGGAATCAGTTTCACTTTTCTTCTTGGTGCTGCAATTCTCTGGGCCAAAAAATATATATATAATTTTAAATGTCTGATAATCCCATTTTCAATGGGGGAAATAAAGGTATAGAGTAAGAAAAAGAAATACTGTCATTAGATATTATGCAATCCATAATTTATCATGCTTCCCTTGTTGACGTCAGTTATCTTGACGTGGTGTGCTTTTTCAGTTTTATAATTTGCTTGTTTCCTCCTTAGGATTTTGCAGGCTAATTCCTCACACACGTTCACCAGGTACTTGGACAATATATTTTGAAGGTGCAGATTATGAAAGTCACCTTCTGCGTGAGAACACAGAACTGGCAAGTATTTTGAGGATGCTAGACAAGCGAAGTGAAACGTATTCCTAACATGAAGATTTGATGCAAAGCATTCCTTTCTTAGCTGTACGTTGTTGTGATAGGAACATTTGAAAGTCACCTTTAAGTACTGATTTTCCCAGGCCATGTCAATACATTTTCATCTTTAAGCAAAGGTACTTTTTAAAATAAGGAACACTTGTGCTCACTGTTAGACCAGTCTTAATATATGTTCTAAAACATATTAATATGATAGCTGTAACAGATTTTGTTAGAAAAGTCAGTTTTCTTGGCAGAAATATTTTTTTCATTTATATAGTTTATTCTTTCTTAAGTATTTATCAAGTCATTGACTAACATTTTATTTTTTGAAAAAGTACTAAATTCCAGTATTTCCCAGTTTATATATGTTAAGAACAATTTTGCATCGCTTCATATAGAGTTTTAAACACAAAAAAAGATTTTTTTGTATATTAAATTTAAAGTGTTTAATTTATTTTGACCTCTAGCTTACTTTATTGTTTATTTATTTTTGAGTCAGGCTCTTGGTTTGTCATCAAGTCTGGAGGGCAATAGCATGATCACAGCTTACCGCAGCCTTGACCTCCTGGGCTCAGGCTATCCTTCCACCTCAGTCTCCCAAGTAGCTGGAACTACAGATGTTTGCCATCACACCCAACTAATATTTTATTTATTTATTTTTTTTATAGAAGTGAGATCTTGCTATATTGCCTAGGTTGGTCTCGAACTCCTGGGCTCAAGCAGTCTTCCTGCCTTGGCCTCCCAGAGTGCTGGGGTTACAGACGTGAGCCACCATGCCCAGCCTTGATTTCTACCTTACTTTAGATTTAGATTTGAGCACTTTTCATAGCCATCACCAAAAAATGAATTAATTGATGATTGGTCTGTTACACCTAATATATGATCATATTTAACTACTGATAAAGTGAATATCCTAATACTTTTTATTGACTTTTTGCAATTTGTCAAATCCCAAATAACAGCAGCAACTTTTGATTACCAGATTTTATGGGGGAAAAAAGTGCCTTCTTAGACGGATTCACTGATTCTTCATCTTTTTAGTTTATTCTCAGATTCCTCAGTTGATTTCAGGTCTTAATTTTTCAAAAAAATTCTAGTGTCATCTAATTTTGTTTATTTTTCTTCATTAAAAACTCATGTGTATAATTACCACTTCTTGACAGTATGCCTTCATGCTTTTGTCTTTAATTAGTTAAGTCCTCTCTTCGTGTGTATGCACTGTTCATTTTTTTCTGATTTTTGTTTACTCTTTGGCATATTAAGTATGACATGTATGTAACATGTAACTTCAATGGGTAATTTCACTTGCTTGTTTTTATGAGTCTGTTCAAGAGCTGGCTTGCCTTATTGGGCTGTAACTTAGTCACCTCAAGCTTATTACTCCACCAAGTGGGCTTCTTTTAATAACAAAGCGCTTTGAATACCGTTGCATGAGTCCTGCAGCTGCCTTAATGTTGCCATTTGAAATTAAATAATTATTGCTTTTTTTATTTTTTGCTGTCCACCTCATAGACAGTGTAAAATAAGTTTAAACTTCTTCTTGGGGGGTGAGGGGTAAGCCTGGTAATTTTTTTGAATGGTGATAAACTAAAAAATGGATTTTATCTTTATGATCAGATTTTCAATCTGATAGCAAGTTTATGTTTTATAAACCAAATTTTTCAAATAACATGTAAATACCATTTATAACTAGATTCATTTTTTACATGTGAGTCAAGAGTAGCAATATTTAGTGTACCAGATTAAAACATGAAGAGTGTTTATATTAATTGACTTAATTTTACTCTTTCTTTTCCCACTATTTTGTTCTCTATCCCCATTTACTACAGTGAATATGACTGACTAGCTCATGAGTATTCTAACTACTTGGAAGCACTTTTTATGACTTTAGTAATAAAATAAACCTTTGTTTTCATTCTTTAGGCTCAGCCTCTGAGGAAAGAACCTGAAATAATCACTGTGACCCTAAAAAAGCAGAATGGAATGGGCCTTAGCATTGTTGCAGCCAAGGTAGGACAGAAGTAGTGGTGTGAGAGCTGTTTCTTCATTCTTGAAACATCGTGTCAGGAGTTGGTCAGAGGCAGGCATGTGCAAGCACTTCCCCGCCTATGTGGAAAGTGCACGTTCCATTCTGTTTCCTGTGGGGAGGAATGGGGCTGCGTGAATGAAGCCAGTGTGCTCGTTGGCTTGGTTAGTTGAGGGATGATCTTCTGCTCTGAGAATGTAGCTTGAGTGGGTGATAACTTGAGATTGAGCAGATGTTGCTCAGAAGGGAGCAGTTAAAGGCACAGTCAGAACCTGCTTAGCACAGCGGGGAAGCCAACATTGGCATGGTAAGGAACTGCGTAGTGGAAATGGCACAGGGCTGTCACCTCATCACAGTGGAACACTAGACACTCTTCTCAGACCTCGGTGCACCTGGCATCACTAGGGGCCTTGGGATGCTGGCAGGTTTCTGACACTGGACCTCAGGTTTTCCCTTCCCTGCTGTGAAGTGGAACCCAGGAAATGACACTCCTCACCTAGGCTGAGTGTGGTTCTGACAAGTACTGACCACTGGGCCACCCTCCACAACACTTTGGAGCTGAATCCTTCACCTACTAGCCTGGGGCAGGAAATTTAAAACAACACCTATCTTTTCTTTTGGTTGAAAGAAATGAATGCTGTGACTCCTAAAGTTGCTGAGTCTGAGCCTCTTCAAGTCTGTTTGCTATAATGAATTTTCACTCTATATAAGATTCAGATATTTTTCATGGAACAAACTTTTTAGGTAATATTCAATAACTAATATTTCAGTTGACATTCCTGATACTTTGCTTAGGATAGCACTTTGCTAACTAAAATTTTTATCTGTGGTTCTCTCTCTAGGGAATATATGAAAAGCTTATGAATATTAATATGCTGTCATGATAGAAGTGCCTTCTGAAGTGCATGCTGTTAGTGTGCTTTGAGAAATATTTTCAAATTGATAATAGTCAAAAATTTCAATATTTGAAACCCTGTTATTCCCATTGCTAAGGGACCTGTGGTGTACGTGTGTGTGTGAGAGAGAGTCAGAGTCCTTCTCTGTTGCCCAGGCTGAAGTGCGGAGTACAGTGGCACGATTGTGACTCACCACAGCCTCCAACTCCTAGGCTCAGGCAATCCTCCTACTTCAGCCTCTTGAGGAGCTGGGACTACAGGCGCATGCCACCACGCCTGGCTAATTTTTTGTTTGTTTTTTTTGTTTCCTTGTCAAGATAAGTTCTTGCCATGTTGCCCAGGCTGGTCTTGAACTCCTAGGCTCAAGCCATCCTCCTGCTTCAGCTTCCTGAGAAACTGGTACTACAGGTGCATAATGCCACAGCAGGCTAGTTTTTAATTTTATTTACTTGTAGAGATGAAGTCTTTCTATGTTGCCCAGGCTAGTCTTGAACTCCTGGTGTCAAGCAATCTTCCTGCCTTTGCCTCCCAAAGTGTTTGGATTACAGACATGAGCCACCACACCTGGTGACCTGTGATTTTTAAAAGTTTAATTGCACTAAAGTCTTTTTCCCCTCAGTCCATCTAATTTGTGAAGGGTTCATTTAAAATGAGGGTATGGGATAGACCATGAGGTTTGCATTGCACTGAACAAATGCAGAAGTGTGAGAAAAGGTGTTGAGGTTGTGGCTCTTAACTGAAGACCAGACGATGAGCTCAGAGATAGTCCAGCAGGTGGGCAGGCTCTTCCTAGCTGGGGTCTTCACCCCTTCCTTGCCCTCATGCTGCTGCTGACGCAAGCAAGACTGTGTGTCATGCTTTCCAAGGACTTGCTACAGCCCTCGCTATCTTCTAGTCAGGACCTGTCACGGCTGGTACTTGATCACTGGGAACTTGGCGTCTTTCCTCCTAGACTGGCGGCATGTCATCTTCTTTGTGTATCCCTGTCGCTAACAGTCTCTGGCATGTGGTAGGCAATACAAAACAAAAAGTACTGAAAAAAATAGGTAACTAATAACAGTTTAAAAAAAAAAAAGGAGTGGGCATTTGATTTGCTGTCATGGATGTTTAATCTTGGAAGTTAGTTTATTTAATATAAGTTTACCAACTATATTAACAAAACTCTCACTGAGTTTACTGTGAGGAAAATTTGATATCCATAATCTTAGCCATAACCAGACAAAAGCCTATGAAACAATACGTGATTAAGATCCAGTATAAATATCATAAAACTTTACATTTGAGAGAAAGGGGTTGAGAAGATTAATGACAGTTTCAGCAGTTGTGGAGGGCATCAAGGAAGAAATGGAATTTCAGTTAGTCTAGAACAAAAGGAATTGGAAAAAGGAATAACAGAGTGATCTAGTGGGTAGAGTGATAGCACAAGAGGATAGGACGGAACATGCAAGTCTCAGGCACACCATATTTGGATAAAGTGAGACCTGTGTGATTAGGGAGAATTGAGTAAGACGGGCAGTGCTTAGTTCTAAAACTCTTGATTGACAGGTTGAAGAGTCTGTACTCTATCTTGTAGGCACTACAAAGAAATGAAGAGTTTGTGACAAAAGTGGAATATGGTGAAACTGACATTTAAGGCTAATTTATCTGGGCAAGGTGTACAGGATGAGTCAGAAGAACCTGGGCTAAAGGTGGGCATCTGTTTCAGAGTCCACAGAAAGAGCTTGAACCCTTACAGAGTGTGGGTCAGACGGGTTCTGTAGGACACAGCAGGCTGCCTCTCAGCAACCACTTAGGTAGAGGGTAGTTCAGGACCCCTCAGCCCGCCAGAATTCCTGCTTACTCCTGCATGGTGAGGGTTGTGTTCTTGGGCTGTTGTGGTGTCATGGACCTATGGCTCAGAACATTCAGAGATGTGAAAGAGGAGACTGTTGTGGTGTCATGGACCTATGGCTCAGAACATTCAGAGATGTGAAAGAGGAGACGTCAGCCATGGTGCTGTCGCCTGTTTGCTTACCTACTGAATCACTATTTTCAGGGAAAATTTTTGATTAAAAAATGACTCTTTCACACTCAGACGTATGAGGAAAATTTAACCTCCATATTTTCTGTTAATGTTTATACTATAATCTTATTTCAGATACCCATCTTGCTTGAGATTTCAGGAGTGTGGGAATGGGAGCCTCCATCAGAGTTTCTATCATTTCCAGCTTAAAAAAAAAGACAAAAAACCTCGTTCAATACAAAATGATGTTTTCTGTAGTTTCAAGTGTGACTTGTGCAGCATTGAGGATTTTCTCTCTGGTCTCATGTCCTGGTATGTGAAGGGAGGAAGGAGTGGAGCGGTGGCTTCACTTGGGCACTTCCTGCCCTCTCTTGGATGTCCTTGGATCTCTGGTGTTTTGTCTCTGAATGCTGACCTCTGTCCTCACCAGGCAGCCAGGTGTCAGGTGGACCATTAGGACAGCAAGCCAGACTGCAAGTCAACGGAATCTCTGTTCAGTTATTGCAGCAGCACAGGCAGGAGGCCAGAGAAAAGCCCCCAGGGTCAGAGTGCAAGTCAGATGAGTGGACAAGTAGAATCTTTTCAGAAGGCACTGCCTGTATGACCCAGGGAGGGAGAGGGAAGGGGTAAAAAAGGAGTCAGTAGGAGACGGTGCTGCTGCCCAGGCCAGGGTGCAGATCCCAGGGCAAGCTGGGGTGCTGTACATGACCAAAGTCTCCTGCACCTTCCTCCAGAGACCCTGGTGCTTGACCCTGGTGCTTCAGAGGCCTGAACCTGGGGGGCCGGTACTGCTTGAACTGATTCCAACTGGCCTCTGCCTATCTGTACATCCATGCTGCTGCCCACACTTGTTCTAACTCTAGATCCTTGCACTTGGCTTCTTCTTCCAGCCCCAGACTCTGCTAAGCCTTTCTCTTCTGTGAGGTGTGAAAACCCCTGAGCTGCTGTGTGTCCTCTCTGCATTTGCTCACATGCAAGGATGCGTCAGAAGAACACAGTGGGAAATCATCTTTTCATAAAATAATGTAGCTCTGGAATCCTTGCTCTTACAAAAGTGTTGATGAGAAGATACAGTAGGTATCAGTGTAGCCAATTTCCATGAGTCTCACATGATTTAGGAATCTCTGGGGGTTAACTTCAGGGTATATAGTAGTTTTAAGACTAGGTCTTTTGTACTTTTACTAGTATTAGAATAGACTTAATATGAAAGTAGTAGGTAATTATTAAAATAAATTTATTTCAGAAGAGAATATTGAGTGCCTGTTTGAAAAGTAGAGTGTAGTCTCTAACACTCCAGGTTTTTTTTTCCTTTCTGTAATAAGAAAGACATTTTAAGAGATTTGTAGAAAAGCTTGAGAAATAACAATGTTAATAGTGTTTCTAACTGGGATATAGGATTATAGAATTGGGGCTTAATGGTGCATAATAACAGCACCAGATTAGACAGATACAGATCAAAAGGTGAACTCTTTACCAACTGAAGCTAGATGGGAGCTGTGACTAAGGTGCACGTCCTATAAATACATAACTCCTGAATTAAACATACTTCATCCCTCCCCATCTCTAACTCACTCATAAATCAAGTCTACTCTATAGGAGAAGTTGAGGGTGGCTGTCCCCTCAGAGCAGGACATTCCAAAATACAGAGTGCTAAAGAGGCTGAGCACCCTCTCCGCTGGGCACCCCTGCCTCCCACACCCTTTTGGGGCTTTGCTGTCTCTGTAGAGAGTCGTCTGGAAGGAGCTAGAGTGTATCTGGAAAGGCCCCTGCTCTTCCCTTTCCTCGGTGCACAGAACTACATGTCCCTTTTCAGTAACATGGAGTTAGGGGATCCTTCCTGACATGTAGATGATTTTCACTTTGTTCTTGTTTTTGGTCTTTTCAGATATTTTCTGCAGTGAATAGTGTGTATAAACTTAAAATTGAAAGAAAGAAAAGGGAATTTAGATTTAGTCCTGAAATGGTTAATTCATCAGCTTATAAAAACTATTTAATGAGATCAAGTATGAATTTGACTCCCACCAGAGTTATTTTTACCTAGTAGACATTTTCTTCTCCTGCCAAGGACATCGATAATCCTAGGCAA